ATGCTGTTATGTTGAGCTGTAGGGGACTCAGGTCAACAATTTCTGACATTGCCAGTCAAGCGGAAGACCCAATACTATTATGGGCTACTGGACTGTTTTAGAATATTTTGCTGAGTTTACACACCTATAATATTCAAATAATGGAGCATTAACTGTTTTTGAAAAGAATTTTCTTTGATTTGAAATGAAAACAGTATGACAAAATAGAAGTCAAAATAATACATTATTTGTAAGGTTGGCCAAATAGCTCAGCACATTAAAGAGCCTGCAAGCAGGCGCACAGGGGCTGGGGGCTCAATCCCCAGGCCTGCTGTGCCGGCCCCGCCCCCGGGGCCTGCTCAGAGGACAATTGAGACTGGGCATGGTGGCGCGTGCCTGTAGTCCCAGCCAGTTCTTTGGCTGTAAACAGGCGGATCACTATGAGTCTGATCCTAGTAGTGAGAACCTGAACACCCTGTAGACCCCTAAAATATATAACCCCCCCAAAATCTACAAAACTGTTCCTTAGAATGATGTGATGATCTCATGAAGCAAAACACAGTGTTAGTAAATTCTGAGGTTGTGTTGTATTCTCAGCACCTATTTTATAACTGTGCTGAGCACACACACACACACACACACACACACACACACACACACACACACCTCCTCCAAGAGACATTTGGTGTTGGCGAGTAGGAGGGATGTGTTAAGGTCTTGCAATTTGGTGGTTAGAATCAATATTATTTATGTGACCTTAACGAGTGACAATCCACCAGCTATTTTTTCATTTGCTGAATTGCATAATGAGAATAACTATACTCTATACCATGCAGTTATTGCTAATAATAAATTGATGAATATGAAGCATTTAGCTCCATGAGTAACACGCATGTGGGAGATGATTCGTGTTTTCATTGCTGGCAACTTTTAATGACCTACCACAGGCACAAATATTGATGAAAAAAATCCCAATCTCCAAATTTCTTATTTTTAAAGGGACTTCCAGTGGTCTTAATTCTTTTCTATAGGTCAAGATTCAATTGGATAGTTAAAAATTACGTATTCATTGTATTCATTTGGCATATTTGGATAATTTAGTTAATCTCAAATGTATTCTAAATGCGTAGTGCACCTGATCTGGCATTCATCAAAGCAGCAGCGTATTTGTTAAAGCCATGCTCGTGTATTCCGCCCATGAAGAGGTATCTCTGGTGGGATGGAATCCTCGTCCATGTTTTAGTATGTTTCTGCCAGTTGTACAAAAAGCCTAAAAAGATTTTCCAGTTGGCAGCCACTTTAACCAAGCTTAAATCCAAATGTGCTTGTGTGACAAAATTTATAAACTTATTCTGCAACTCTAGCTTTGATCTCCAGTCCACAAATGTCTATTTGGTTAATTTTATTATAAGTCTGTTAAAAATTGCTTGGCTTAGAAACATGTACTGAAAGTATTTTAAGTTCCCTATCTCATACTCCACTATAAAAACCATCAAGCACTTATGAGATATTTATTAAATTTATTAAAATAGCAGGTACTTAAATAAAATTATGCTGAATACATAAAATCTGTATCCACATAATACCATACATATGTGTGTTTGTGTGCATGAAATTAATTTTAAAATTAGAATTCATTTTACATTTACAATTAGGGAATGAGAATGTTTTATCATCATTTCCCTAAGAGGCAAGAAGCAGGAATGGGTAACACTGGTTCACATGCTATAGAGTATTTATTTATCTTCTGCTTAAATAAAAAGCACATTGGAAGAACTACATTAAGATTTTGATAACTATCAGTCAGTGCAGTCATTTGATATATTAAATTGTATTTCATTATGAATTTGTTCAAAGGTTTTCAGTAAATGAGTAATCCTGTGGTTAATGACAGTGATTGACTCAGTGATTCTAAATGTGTGTGTCCGGTTAAGAGCCCGAGCTTTTAGCTGGTCAGCGGGCAGAGGTCTTGGCTCTAGCACCATTAGTGTGGAGGACCATCCACAAATCGTCAGTGATCGTAGTGTGGAGGGCACCGAAGAATGCTGCGACTTCTGAGTAATAATTTCAGTTGCAGAAAAACTTGGCTTTCTTTTCTCTTTTGTCTTGGTTGGCACATCGTAGATATAGTTAGATTGTTATTGAACTTATGCATATCTTAAAATTGTAAGTTCTACATCCTAGAAAATTTAGAAAATAAATGTGGCCATAATCATTTGACCTGTGATAATGTATTGTTTCCTATCTGTTTTCTTTCCTGTGGGAATACCTGTAGAAAGATTCAGAGCTGTAGTTTGAGACTGTCCAGTGATGGCACGTCTACCATGGATGGAAATGGGGATTGTGTGAGAAAATAGTACATACATTGCTTCAAGCTAACTGTATCATGTAAATTTGTACATAAAGATGAAAAAGATAAAAAATGACAGTTTTGATCCAGACATGGATTTTTGACAGGTCAAGATGATTGATCTGAGGTTACCATTATATATATATACATATATATATATTCTCCTACATTATAACTATTACATTTATTTCAGTAGAAAAGTAGTGTTTACAAGGTAGTTTTTCTGAGTTAAATCTTAGTTTCATGGACTTTTCTATTTTGATGACATCTTTAAATGAATAAACATGAATAAAGTATTTTCTGCATGCAAACATTTTCTCCAATCATAGTACCATGAGGTTGTATGATTCTAAAATTACATGTATCTACTACATCTTTTAAGGTTTGCCTTGAATGTGGTGAAGATTATTGTTCAGGATGCTTTGCTAAAATCCACCAGAAGGGGGCACTGAAGCTCCACAGAACGACTCTTCTGCAGGTATGACTTTCTGAAGTGCTTTACTTAGTGTACACTTAAAGAATGTTTTAACAAAAAGACCCTTAAAATATTTATAATTCTCCAGAATTTAGGGTGGTTTGCATTAATTTTTCAAATTCTATTACGTACAGACAATCTCAATGTATATTTTAAAATTATTTTACTACACACTAATTGAGATTCAATTTTGCTATGTAAACTTTTTCTATAGTTCCCAAAACACTGTGGCTATTAAGCTTTTAGGCATTCTGTTCATGAGCTTGACAACTGAAATTGGACAATATTTGTTATTGTGGTTAAAATGAACATATGGTCTATTTTAAGTACTATTTTTTTAATCTAGATTACAAGTAGAAATCTTGTATTTTCCTTGTATGTTTCTTTTTAAAATTATATTTATCCTTGTCCATTATCATTTTGATAAGTTCCTCTTAAAGCTTATACTTATAATTCCACATATTAGAAATTTTCATTCATTCTTCTATTGACATTTCTTTCATGTTCTCTTCTTTAAATCATTGCTCCTTAAAATGCTTCAATTCAAAGCTTCTCAAATAATTTCAAAGTTCTAGTGTTTACTGACAAAGGATCTACAAAGTGCTATACAGGGTTCCAGGGCAAATCCTCAGGGGATTCGACTGACCATGTCAGATAGCAAAGCTTCAATTTTAGTTATATAGGTTTTGCTTTCATTTGATCTTAACCATCCAGCAGAGAAGTGTAACCACAAGGATAAAAAAAGGAAAGCTATATTAGTATGCTGAACTGTAAAAGGCTCAAGTTAGCAACTTTGGACAATTGCCAGTTGTGCTGATAACTCACTACTATTATGGACTATTGGACTATATTGGGTTACTTTGCTGAATTCAGGTGTTTTGGACTGGCATCAAGTATGAAAAGGTCCTTTAAAGACTTCTCCAAATACAACTTCTCTAATTGCAGTGGAACACCTATCTCTGACAAAGAAAAACAAAAAAAAAGGGTGTATGTTGGGAGCCAACCAGGCTAGGAAATTGAAGGTGGGACTAGGCCTCAGTGTGTAGGTGGGACTAGGCCTCAGTGTGTAGGTGGGACTAGGCCTCAGTGCCAAAAGCAAACAAGCTATCTCAGTCCTGAAATAAACATGCTGTCTGGTTAGGGTCAGCTATTAGTTGCTAGGCAACCTTGTGTCATGGGTTACTAACTTTGCAAAAGTATAAATAAAGGATCATTTTGTTGTGAAAAAAGAGAAAGAAAAATATATAAATATACACAAAAGATAGGATAGATATACATCTACTTTCTCTTAGTTCATAAGGAGAAATATTGTACTAATATTGTTTAGACAAGATATCTTCTCTGCTTCTTGTCCTCTGAATAACTACTAGAAAGACAACAATGTGCAATGTAGTAATTATTGTAACTGTCCTACTACTATCCTATTTTGAAACTGTTCCATTGCTGTTGTTTCTTTTTTCTCAATAAAATGAATAAAAAATAAAATTCTAGCATTTAATAAATATGGTCAGATACGGGCATGACTTTACACTGATTATGCATGATATTTTTATTCTTCATACATTGAATTCATTTTATAGTAATATACTCAACAATTATTTACTGAGCAGCTTCTTAGAAGCAAAGTCAATCCTAAGCAGTGACCTTATGTCCATTAATATTGCCGGGGTCCTGCTTGTAAGGACCTGAATGTGACACTGACAACCAAGGACCTTGTGTAATGAGTTAAAGATGTCAGTATTTTGTATACAAAGGGAAAGAGGTGATGACATCTGTATTTATAAAGATCACTGGCAAATTTCAATATTGACATGTTACCTCCATATCAATAACTGTTGGCCCACAAAGGTACGAATGATCTGAGTGACAGTCCAGTAGCTCTACCCCATTTCTTCCAAAGCTACTTTTGAGTTACTGCTGAATGATAGAGCTGTTGGGCAGAAATAATTCAAGGTGTACTGAAGTACCCAGTTCCTTCCCTTTCTCAGACTATTTTAGCTGGTCAACCATGAGGAATGGAAGTCAAGCGATACAGAAGGATGATCAGTTATTAAATAAAGAATACAGAACTTAACTAATGGCTTTCTACTTTGAAAAGAAATAACCCAATTAGTTCACCACGGGTTCATTTTAGGGAGTTTTCCTGTAAAGCTTTGTTTCTTGAGCACATTTTCTGAGTTACCAATCAGTGAGTTGAAGCACTGATGTGGATTTCAGACAGTGTGGAAGAAATGAGCAATGAGACCTGAGTCCTTCCTTTAACTTTGATATCTGAGCCTCAGGATCCCTGAGTGTTTCTCTTTTCCTCTGTTATTATCTTTCTCTCTCTCTCTCTCTCTCTCTCTCTCTCTCTCCCTTTCTGTGTGTGTCATTTGCTGTAATTTTGCTTACATATGTGAATGAATTAACTTTCATTCCCTGTGACTGGCACTTTATAATATTCCAGATATAGATATAATCTGTGTCAAGTCATGCTTACTAAGGCAGTACAGCATGCAGGGCAATTTCTAAACGTTCAGCATTTTTTGATTCCCTATTTGTATCATTAACATGGACAGTTTATCTGAAAAGAATATGATCATTTAAATTTCAAATAAAAAGTTGGAAAAATAAGAAAAAATTACTGGGTATATATTAACTGTCATATACGTTTTTGTAATTAAAATATACTTCTAAAATGTAAATTTTCACCTGTTGAGGTAGTACCTTTTTACAGATTCATGGAAACAATAAATGAGCCCTTTTCCATCTTTTTCTGAGAGAAAATTGGCAGATACTAATTATATAAATTTAAGTTATACAAATTAACATTATATATACACACACATTGTGAAATATTCCCCAATATTAGGTAAATAAATATAAAAATGATTTCACATTACCGTGGTTTTCTTTGTCTGTCTGTCGTTCTGTCTCTCTTGGTGTGTGTGTGTGTGTGTGTGTGTGTGTGTGTGTGTGTAGTGTGAGTAAGAATGCATGAGATACTCCAAGATAAGACTTTGTAGTTTTGATTGCAGAAGAAGAAAAGTTGGTAATCCATAAATAGTAAAATGGTATTTAAGTTTCAACTGAATCTCAAATTGGTGAGGAAACATTCATCTCTAAACGTTAGTATGAATAAATTTCAGACATATACAAATCAAAGAGTGTATAAAAAGTCATGAGTTATTAACAGATTTCTTTAAATGCAGGGGTCTTTCATGCATATAAAAATGTTAAGTATCAATAATAAGCCATGTTCTCCCTATTCATGTTTCTACTTAGCGTTGTGCTCCTGTTCAGACACTGACGTTGCTTGGTGACATCTTGGGGAAAGTTCTGGAAAGTGAATTTTCTGTGAGCAAAGTTGAACCTAATGCTGGTACTTAGCAGAATACCCACAGACCATCTGTACTGAAAACTGAAGCTACCCTGCTTTTACTCTTTTTATATAATTTCTCTTGAACTGCCCACTTTAACAGTAGTTATGGTATGGAGGACTTAGAAAGAGACAGCATTTTTGCAAATAATTCAGTTAAATCTGTCCACTTAGTTATAACACAAAACATGTAAAATCAGTGGCTTTTCTTTTCTTTTAGATTTCACATGCAAGTAAAATACAGTATTTTTCATTCAGTGCCCAGTTTATGTAATTTAACATAATGTTCTCCAGTTTGATCCATGTTGTTTGTTTACTTATTTATTTTTTTTTGCAGAACCAGGGATTGAACTCAGGCCTTTGTGCTTACCAGGGAAGTGCTTATTCTACTGAGCCATCTTCCCAGCCCCCCTGATCCATGTTGTTTATAATCACATTATCTCCTCTCCAAAGTCTGAATTATATTCCATTACAAAAGTAACTATGCGGGGCATTTGGGCTTGTTAGCTACATACTTAGTGATGACTAGACACCTCATTTTACATAGCCCCTCATTTACTTGTGACACTGTGTTTTCTTTTTAATTTTCCTCCATTATGGTAACTACTGTAGTCATGAAGTTTAATTGACTCCTGAATTTGTATTTAACCTGAGAAGTGAAGATAACATCTGATAAGTGAATATTGGCCATTAGTATATAAAATGCATATGTTGTAGCCTAATGGCTACTATACTGTGTATTCTTCAACCTGTGATGTCACACCTGGTTATTATAAAATGCAGCTAAATTTGATAATTACAAACCATTTCAGCTCTTCTTCTTCAGTGTCACTCCTATTATTCAGTCAGTGTGGTGCATTTTATCCAACATGAGGCATTTTACTTAAAATATAAATACTTGAACAATTGCAGGAAAACAATTACTATTTTCATGCTGACTAAAAATCATAATTTCAAAGTGTGTGTCTTTTTTTTTTTAGGAACTGGGGATTGAACTCAGGCCCTTGTGCTTGCCAGGGAAATGCTTATTCCACTGAGCCATCTCCCCAGCCTTGAGTGTGTGTCTTTTGATTTATTCCTGATTTACGCTTGGCAGTGACTCCAAATATTTTAAGCTTCTTTGCTTTCTTCAAGCTCTGGTAAATAGTCAATTATCCAAAACACAAAGTGCAAATATGAAAGGAGGAGTACTAAGTACAAATTTCTAATTCTGTACATAGACGGATTTCTAACACAAGGGTTGAAATGAAGGGATTTTTAACTTCTTAGGTTAAATATGAATTCAGCACTGAGATTAAGGAGGAAAATGAGAATCTACCAAGCATTTCTAGTTCATTTTAACAATATATGATCAGACAAAAGAGACAGGATTCATCAGGGTGAAGGGAAGACCGGAGACAATGAACAAAATGCATTTTATTGTGAAGTATGATATGCACAAAGAAGGTTAAATTAATAATTAATAGATTACAGTAAATATCATTTCTTAATTATAATAATGCATTTAACTTCAGAGAAGAAATCTTGGGAACAAGGATAGTCAACAACAAAAGATGACATCAACAAAATCAAAGTTGAATTTCCATGGTTTCTTGTATGAGTTTTTTTTCTCCATAGAAAGGAATATTTATATAAATATGGATAT